GAAATGACCGTTTTCGCATCGGATCGAATCGAACGCTCAGTTTGAATTACTTCACTCACAATCAGTGTTGCCGTTTTGGGCGTTTCCGTCCAAATCTGGGCGGAAAAAAGATAAATTTTGTGGTTTGGGCGGATTTTGGGCGGATTTTTTTCCATATTGGGTACACATTTATTTTTCATTGTTTATTTTTACGTAATTTTATTATTTTTTTTTTATTACTAACTGAATTTTATATTTTTTTATTGAGATGAATCGTTATTTATTTTATGGATTTTTGTTAAGTTTTTTAGTAATATATATAATACATTAGGCTATAGCAGTGCGGGTCCCACTGATACCCTACAACACTACAATATGTTAGAAGCCCCCTCATGTCCAAATCCATTTTGGAAGATTTCGATTTTGAAGTTATGTCACGGAGCACTGTCCAGATATTACCCTTAGCATTTTGACCAGGGACATTTTCTCAATATTTATGCACTCCTTCGTGCTGTTAGTTTTTGTGGTCCATTTTACGGCTAAATATATTCCAATGGTCATCCAAAATGCCAGTAATGTTGGTATTTTTTACACAAAAGTAGTGGTCCATTCTACCCGCTGTCCTAAACTCCTTCGTGCTGTTAGTTTTTGTGGTCCATTTTACGGCTAAATATATTCCAATGGTCATCCAAAATGCCAGTAATGTTGGTATTTTTTACACAAAAGTAGTTGTCCATTCTACCCGCTGTCCTAAACTCTAACTTCATGCGAGATTTCGTGTCCTTAGGTTTATATTTGGGACCTTTATAACGGCTGCAAAATCAGGAACATTTTGAGTTGCTGGTCCATTTCAACCCCTAAATATATTGCGGACATCTTTGAAAACAATAGGCTAAGCCCTTCTGAGCCTAACCCTACCTTTGTGAAAAATTTCGTGAGGATCGAACGATAATTGCAATCTGTATATAAATAATAACCCTTACCTGTGTTGTAAAGTGATAAAATATTACAAAACAAATACTTCAATATTTGAAGTCAATTTGTCACAAATACTACAAAATACTACAAAATCTATATGAACATCATAATTGGTATCTTTTTATGCGATTTTTTAGTATTTATACTTTTCTAAATTGACAAAATTTGTCAAAATCGCTCCAGCCATTCTGAAGATATAAGCATACTTGCTGATATCCCCTTCCTCTGTATATATACATTGTATATATTTCTCTATATATCCGATATTTTTACTATCAGCATCTACGTAACGGTCAGAATTGACCTGTTCGTCTATTTGTGATTTCGCCGGCAGTAAAAATATTTGCGGATTAATGGAAAAATTGACTTTTATTTATCGCAAATGCTATGGTCTACTAAACCACTAAATATTACCTGATGGCCATCAAAAGTGGAAGGCTTCTACCCAGTCCAAAGCTCTAGCACCATGCTAAATTTCGCTTCGATTGGTCTATAATTGTGACCTGTAGAGCAACTGCAAAATCAGGAAATTTTTCAGTTTTTGGTCCATTTCAACCCCTAAATATTATGCGATCATCTCCAAAAGAAATAGGGTTATATTCTGACCTTAACCCCAGTTATATTCTAAATTTCGTGAAGATCGGGCCATAATTGCGACCTGTAGGGTGATTACAAATTAACATGGACAGACGGACGGACGGACATACATAGCTAGATCGACTCAGCTCGGCGAGATAGGAAGATCCATATATACTTTCCTATGTGGGAAACCAATATTTCGTGGTGTTATATAATTTTTGGCCCAATCAAAGTTATAATACCCCCAACACATAGTGTTGTAGGGTATAAAAACCTGAATAATAATAATGACTTTAATGTATTTAATACATTGAATTCTTGTATTATGTTACTTTTTCAAATATATATATAATACATATAAAAAAAACTTGAAGTAAAATAACATAAAATGTTTATTTTCGCTAAAGTATTTAATACATTGAATGTAAAAAACTTGAGTACCTTTTTTTGTATAGTGTAAAATTTTCTATAAAATTTACTTGAATACAAACTACATATAAATTATTCAACTTTTTACAGTTTGGGCGGATATGGTCGATTTTGGGCGGTTTTTAGAAAAAATTTGGGCTGAAATAAAAATTTCAAACGGCAACACTGCTCACAATCCAATATGAGTGTTCGAGACGGTTTGATGTGTTCAGCAACAGGAGTTGATCGAACACATGAATGTAAATGAGCAATCACAACCGTGATTGTTTTCTTTGAATCGAGTTCGCTCAGCGTCATTGTTCATTCAACCATTCAAAAAAATATTTAAACATTTTTTGTTTACTAAATACCAATGATGCGTTTCGGTATTAAAAATATTAATATTGTTTTTTAGAAATAAGTCACTGAAGTCTAACATACCAAAACCCAAATAAAATGAAAAAATTGTTTGTTTATTAATTATAATTTGCACCAATTTTTTTTAGGGGGACAACTTTTAGTTATGAAATCCTTTGTAAAATTACAATCATGATTTCGCTCAGTTTCGAACATTTGTGTTTTAATCAAATCAAATCACTCACTTAACTGGGTTGAATCAAACCGACAAGACTCCTCATGGATGATCGACCCGTTATGAACAATTCAACATAATTTCGTAAACAAATAACTCATGGGAGCTGTTTGATTGCGAACACAACACTTCGATCAATACATGTTTGATCACAACTTTTTCGTTTGGCTTGAGCAACTCGAATAAACATGTTAAATCTGACCGACTGATTGAGTTTGATTGTATTTCTGCTGTGTGTGATCAAGCCTACTCAATCATACTCATTGCAGCCCTCTAGTGTAGAATAATATATGGTCAAAACTATAAAAGAGCATTAACAACATTTGGTCAAAGAACCCAAAACTCGTTTGGAGGTTTGATATAAAAATGACTCCACTGGACATTTTCCTCAACCCAGACTGGCAATTGTGCATTGAATTTATTAAAAAATATACCAGAAATTGATGTCATTTTTTAAGGTACATACTAAGCATACAAAATTTCTATTGTTCTAAGACTGACACTGAAATTTGAACTAAAATAATTTTTAAATTCACGTTCTCCTAAAAATAATATAAAAAGAGATTTTAACATAATTTTCAATATTAGTACATACGTTTTGAATGTATTTTTCATAAAAACTATTATATATAAATATATATTGTATTCTACGATTTATAGTGAAATTTTGTAATTGTAGAATATTTTTTCTTTGGACACCTTACACCTACGATGAGATTTTATGAAACTTTCGTCAAATTGAAAAAAAAAAATAATTATTAAGAAATACTTTCGGCTTTTTTTCGGAACATTGATGCAAGAATGTTCAACCAAAATATTCCTCGTATTTTTATCTGCAATATTGCCCAGGACCCTATATACCTAAAATGCACGGACTTCGAGAAATATTAATACGAAAATTGCCAAAAGTGTGGAAGAGGGTTATTTCGGTTACTTTGCAATATAAATTTTCAAAACGCCGCACATAGGGGTGAAATCACAAAACACGGAGATTAATTGAAAAATGAAATTCATTTTTGGAATAAATGTGTTTAAACTATTATAGAACACTAAATTCTACTTCAGTACAGAACATATCAAAGTCATACGTTGTTTAGTTTTCTAATTACACAGTGGCAAAATTGAAAAATATTTCAATTTTTCGCAAGAAGTTGGAAATAAATTGTCTTTGGTTTTTTGAACTGCAATAATTTAGTCTTTTTTTACTCAAAAGTGATCATTTTAAAATTTAAACATCGAATACAGGTAGTTATAATTTTTTTAGAATAAAAATGTATCGAGAATGTCTTAAAATTTCAATTTTGTATTTTAGTATGGAATGTCATATTTCATAATCAACAAAAAAACTCGCTCCGTTTTTTGCCGTTTTTTGTTTAACTTAAAAAATGGTGAAAATAGTCAACTGATTTCGCGGTGAACGTACCTTGATTTACGTTTTTCAAAGGATGAATTATTTTTTCGGGCTTAACTTAATTTTGTTATTTTTTGCTGATATGAAAATTAAAAAAACAGGAATGCTTCTTTTGAATTCATCTCCGATTTGGAGGATCTAAACCCATTGGGCCATACAGAGACCTATGTTATGTGTGATGTTATATTGAAAATTTTTTTTAGTTTTTATCCACTGAAAAATGCTAAGTTTTTAAACAAACTCTGAGTGAAACCCTCAAAATAGGAAGTACCATTATATAGGGTCAATATAAAAGTGGAATTGCCTTCAAAAATTTTGCAGAGAAAGATTCTCAAAATACCTAAAATTTGGAAGTGCCGTTATATATGGTCAAAAAAGGAGGAATAAAGAGGGAAAGATTCTGTCAGTTCTAAACTTAAAATGCCAAGTTACTTATGAATTGGCTTAAAATTCTGTTCGAAACATTCAAATATCAAAAATTAGGAGGTACAGTAATATGGGGTCTATGCCAAATAGTGGAGCAATCTTAATTTTTTTAGCAAGGAGAGGTTATATCTACTACGAACTCTAAATGTCAAGTTACACATGGTTTGGTTTAAAATTGTGGTCAAAACAATCAAAATACCGAAAATCAGGAAGTAACGCTCTATGGGGGCCATGTCGAAACGTGGCAACTGAGCAAAATTTTAAAGCGATTATTAGTGCTTCCCTGAATTAATCTCCGTTTTTTGGGGATCTCACCCCACCCCGATACACGTGTCTTCTTTTTTAGCTCTACTAAAAAAAAGAAATTTGTCGCACAGTGCTATGTTCGTAAATATTGGTGTTACACTAATACACCTTTTTCAGTTCTCTAGAAAACTAGGAAACTAGATGCATTTTTTTTTCAGATACTAACCAAAAATGAAAATCGAGTTGATAAATATTTTCTAGCCAAATTTTACACTCAATATAGAAATCCCGAGAGAAAGTGTGAGGTGTTTATTTATTTACTTTAGGTAAAAACAAAAAAAAAAAAAAACTCATTTAATTAACTTTAATATTTTCTTTCAGATCACGAAGTACAACACCCTCGTCGTTTCGTGGTCCATCACCGCAACATTCGGTACACAGTAGCCCATCCGAAACTGTGGTGCCCATGCATAATCTCTCCAGCAACCTGTTAAATAGCATCCAGCAAGCAGCATCGTCGTCTGGACGCCAGAGCAACATCAGTTTCCCCAATGTTGTGATAAGCAGTTCAGCTTCTTCTCTGCCCAGCGATTTTTCAACCCGAAACTATTCGGATTTTATGAGATGCCTAGCGGCAAAGTACAATAATACGAATCCCACAGAGTAAGTCCCTCCTAAAGAAGTGGTGTTGGTCCAATATGTATTTTATTTTTCTTTTCATTTTATTTTACTGTAGTTCTAGCAATTCAAGACGTCAAACGTTTTTCGATACAACAACTACAAACAATGCAACCAAAAAGACAACGTCCGTCTCGTCGAAAGTTCCCTACCCCCCACCGTCAACGTCGATTAGTAAGGAAATTTCAATAACGACCACACCCACGCTGCCTCCACCACAACCCATTTCGTCGGGTGCAATATCGCCGGGCGACACTTCGCTCAGCCATGCGCAACAGACTCAAATGGCAGCTGCGGTGGCATCAGCTGCTGCCGCCAATAGCGCCAGCGCTGGCAATGTTTCTCCTTTCATGACATCTTTCCTCTCAAGTTTGCCCTTTGCACAAGGCATTTTGCCGCCGCTCATTGATATGAGCAGTACTCAGGCGTTGATAACTTTGGTAAGTAGGGAGTTTGCGCGCATCCCCACACATACATATTGAACTTGGACATGTCCAAAATTTTGCATCCATATCCTAATTTCAGGCACGAGCAGCCAAAGAAAACGAAATGCACAACATTTTACAAATGAACCAGACTTTAAAGCGAAGCTCTTCAAGTGCTTCGCCCTCACCCAGTCCCAGTTTAAATATGGCCCTGCAGCAGGCCGGCCAATTCATTACGCCCGCTCTACTCTATTCAGCTCAAGCGCAGAAACAGCAACAGCAACAGGTCTCAAGCCAATCTAGTCCACGTTCAACACATTTACCCAACACAACATCTGGTGCGGCCAACAATGTCCTCGGCAAAAACGCTGGGGACAAGAGGAACGCCTCACCACTGGACCTCAGTTCGCAGCCGCCAGCGTCTAAACGTTTTAAAATCGAGTCCAATACATCAAGCCAAAGTAGTTCCGAAGGTCTCTTAGATGCAACCATAAAGCGTCGTAGCTCAACGTCAACCCCTACCACATCGCCATCTCCCCCGCCCCTCAATGATCGCCCCACGAGTCCAAACGCAATAGAATGGACAACGGCTACCTCGAGTGGCCTGGGTGTCATGAGTACACGTCGGTGTCAGGCACACAGCGAAGAAGTCAATTCGTGGACGGTGGACGATGTTTGTGCATTCGTTGGAAGCATAGACATTTGTGCCGAATATGTCAAGGTGAGTGAACTAATCTGGAGCGAAATATGTCATTAGTTAACTTTGGGTATATATTGAATTTTTGGGGACAATACCAGCAGTAAGCAACCCTAAGGGGTATGCATAAGGATATGTAGTACAAAATAAGAAGATATATCAGGGCGTCTAAAAGTAGCAAAATAAATAAGTTAAATGACTCCAAATTTTTGTAACAGTACTGGCATTCTGCTGCGATCTTTTGCTTTATTAATTTTAAGCAATAACCTTTTATTTTCAATTTATTGGTGATTAGAAGGTAGTTACATTGTCTTGTAAAGAGTTATTTGATATATACAGCCAGCAAATGTTTAATGGGCCATATTAATAATAATATATTATTTATATATCTTTATTTTAACTGACTCTGACTAGCTAACTCACAACTCTGGTTTTCATAGACTAACTCATAGTCATTATTTGGTAATGAATAAGGTAGTTATTTCATCTGTATATATGGAATATGAGGACAACACCTGGCCACATTTTACCTGGCTTTGAATAGAAACAATGTCCAATTTGTATTTTTATTTATTTATTTATTTTTTTTTTTTGAAGAGTATATCGATGTTACAAATGTCCTAACTGTGTTTTGCTGGTTCGTACCCCGTTGAGATTCTGTGATCTCATAAAACTGTGACTACTCTTTTATTTTGCTTTTTAATCTTCGGCTCACACAAAAAATAAATTTCGAGCCACTTAAGGGTATTTTATAAGGAGAGCGGGATCTTTGATTTGGCCCCAATTTGAACATCGCTACTTTTAAATATTATATATCGCTACACTAAAATATTTTTGGCTTATTCTCATCACTTTCAGAGATAAGAAAGTAAAAAGGGACCACGTCAGAGGAAATTCGCGCATCAGCAGCAATGCGTAAACAGGGGCGGTATCACGGGCTCTTATATAAATGATGCCCTCTTGGCGTTTCAATGGTGTCCAACACACCTTTGGTCGTTTTCATCTTCTAAAAAGCGAAATTTAATAAGGCCAGAAGATTGACACTTTTTACTATTACATTGTCTCTATCAGATTATTTCAATATTACTATTTCAGAATATTGATGACTATCAATACTACCGCTTTTTTAATAACGTTGTATTCTCCATACACAATGCAAAAGAGTGGAAGGTATAACAGGTATATATGTCCACGAAAGCTCATTGTAATATGGTAGATCTAAATGTTTTCTATTCCCCGAAGAAGCCATAATCCCAATTCTAATCAATTGGAAAATTCGACCAAGACCCCCGTAATAACTAAAATCAGGGGGGTGTATTTTTAGTGAAATTGTTGAAGATTGTTTCTCTTTTGAAACTTTAGGCTTAAAACGAAATTTTATGTGACTTTCATGACTTTCAATTCGAAAAAGCCCTGGGGAAAATTAGTAAAAAAAAATTAGGAAATATTTTCGCATTTGTATACCTTCCACCATAGTATGGAGGGTATATTAAGTTTTTCATTCCGTTTGTGATACCTCGAATAATACATTTTAGATGCCAGGAAGTATATATTCTTGATCAGCATAAAATTCTATGTCGATATAACAATGTCCTTGCATATGTATACGTTTTGGTATAGTACCTTCAGATATTCGGCACTTTGATGACTTGTATCACACTTTTTACTGGAATTGTTTCAAATTTGATATTCGAAATTCCTATGACAGAAAATTGTTCATATAGGTCCCCGTCTTCGTATAGCCCCCATATAACGGCACCTCCCTAAATTATGTACTTTGGTAATTTAGCTACTTTATTCGCCGGAATTTTTTCAAATTTTCGTATTCTTTCCAAATGGTGGAGAATATTCAAAGTTCGGTCCGGCCGAATTTACTACTTTTTCAACTGTTTTTTTTTTTGCAACATTGATTTCTTGAAATAAAATGGTGAATAATATTTATGTCTATGACGTCATTATTCTAAAATTACGATTTGTATGAGAATTTTGGCAACTCGCTTGATTTGTTCAAAATACTCCTCGTATCAGTAAAATTGCGGGAGACACTATAAACGTAAAAGGTAAGGATTCCGTGGAATCTTATACCCAACATTTAAAAAAAATATGAGAAGAGGAAATATTCCCCCTCTGTTTCGCATTAAAAACGCCGATATACTTGTCTTCTATTTTTAGCTCTACCTTCATAATCTATTTAATTCTTGTTTTCCTGTAATTATTTTTTTTTTTGTGTTGAACAGTGTTATATATCGATACTTCCTTTTAAAATAATGTATTAATAGATTAAGGATTGTATGTCAGCTCTACCGGATCAGTATACAATGAAAGGGATTGTCGTAGTCTCGATATGAACTTTCAAAAATGTTCAAGAACTACCATCATGGGAATATAAAAAATATATATCAGATATACATATAGCTCCTATAAAAGCTCCAAATTATTGGGACTGTTCATCGATACTTATCTCAGAATTATCTTAAACAATTAATTAGGGATAATAATTTTTGGTGATTTAAAATCACCGTGGCCCCTCTCTAGTAAAACACACACAGAATTATTCCTAACCGTTTTTCTGACGACAAATAACACACCCCAGTCACATCTTGTCATCCCAGAAATTTTGGCTGTTGATAGCTTACAAATTCCATAACATGGGCATGTGTAATTCCGTCCACAAGTTCCGGAATCATCTACACTAAAGAATCTAATGTTCCATGGAGTTTGTTATGTCTCTAAGATGCATCATAAAGCAACTTTCATGGTATAGCCGAAGTTGTATTTTATTATCATATATAGTCGATTCAGTCATATTTGATTTGTGTCCTCCTAAAAAAGAAAATAAACCCAAAATTTGACCCCAATCTAAGCAATTGTTTTTACAGACTATTGTTGACTTTGTTGTGTATTCAAAACGCCGCAATAAAGGTGTAACATATATACATATGTGCCGAAAGCTTAGTTAGACGATGGACTGTTGGAAGTTTGACTTTGTGGACTGCATCACCAGCCGGTATTCACATATCTGATCTATTCGAATGCAAGTACAAGTTATGCCTGGGAGTCCATGATAGCTCGTTGGCCTTTAGATGCATCATGCCATGCTTGAGTAAATAACCTCTGGGATGAAGCCTTTACCCACATGTATTTCTTACATTGTTAGCAGATAGGCCGACAAGCTGACCAAGACCGAGGCACTCGAATGCAATCGCACACCGTCGTCTGGTTTCACAAATAACACTGAAACCAGAAAATCAGCTCACAATCTGCGATACTTATTTAAAACCATTAGACTTTATCAACTGCATGGACAAACGTAAACATAAGTATATCGCATGCCTACCTGTGTGTCTGCCGGTCTGCCACTCTGTCGGCCTAGGTGTACTCGTACTCGGCTTATGGATAGACGTATTAAATTTATGGTTACAATGGCATTTGAAGCGCAGCACACCACAGCCAGTCACAGTGACAAGCAATGGCCTTTAGTTTTTTCTGCGGGCAGTGTGAGCAAAACCATTGCACACCCATCTATCTGCACGCACACACACATTCACATATTCACACATTATTTCTAACTGGTAGACCCCCCTGTCTCTTTTCCATCCAATGCAATGCTATCTATACGCCGGCCAATGTCACACCTTTGCAAAGTTGCTCCAATTTCATGATGTGGTTCCGCATGCACAAATTCGCACAATGTCACTTGGAACAGTGAGAAAAGGTGAACAAAACTTTGACTTTTCTTGACAACATAAGGCATCAACACCAACACGATGACAATAATTTATCTGTCTGTGTGTGTGTAGGTATGCAAGTGGTTCCCATGCATGTAACCACCTCAAAGTGTAAGATGGAACGACAGAAATTAGCAACATTTCAAAATTGCCATTTTAAATGACCAGATCTTTAAGAGGTCTTTGTGAATCAGAGGGGAATTGTTTGCGGTTGCACGTTCTCAATGACATACACTATATGTTTATTCTCCACACTATAAGGTTTGGGGTAACGCAATGCTCAAAAATTGTGCGCTCAAGTGATACAAACCGAAGAAGCCAAAACTGTTTAAAGACCGTTTTTCGTGAAACTTTTGGTTGGTGCTCATTATGATTGGAGGATGTAGTTTTTGACGAAATCGTCCGTCCAGTATTCTCAACGTAAACAAGGCCTGTTAGAATTATGACGTACCATGTTTAAACGATATTGGATACTACATTCCCTTTCTGTGACGGAAGGGAAGGAAGGGTTCCGATATTACCCATCTTCGAACTTGAACTAATTTTTACCTTATATAAAATATGTGAAAATTTCTAGAAGATAATAATATTGGTATGTGAAAAACTTAAAGAAAATCGAAAAAAATTGATAACCTTTTAATAATAGGTACATGAGATTAGGAGGTACCAGAAGGACTGGCCCGATAAATTCCATATTTACATTAGATCACAGGTTGGGAGATAAATCAAGCTTGAAAAGAATCGCCGACTTGTTTCGCATGCTATAAGAGGTACAATTATTCAAAAATATTGATGCTGATGGTGGAGTAGGTATCCGAGGAGTGGATCGATATATTCCATCTATCTTGTCATAATAAGAATATAGTAATGTGTGAAATTTTAAGACTGAAGCCGTAATTTTGATGAGGCACGTTTTGGCTGTATCAAATGATATATACCCCCTATAGCCATATGGCTTAAGGTACGGTCACACTGGGCAAATATTTGATCGAAATTTGTTTTCCCATATTTGACTGAACAAATGTGAAATTCATACAGAGTTGATTCGATGTTCACATTACAGTCAAATATTTGACAGATTTTGTTTGTTCAAACAGTCACCAAATAGCGTCAAATAGTGCTATGGGGAAACATGTTTGACACATGTTCACATTCGTAAAATATATTTTCCCAATAAATTGTTTGATCAAACTGTGAGGAAACATAAATTTATTTGGCCGAGAGAAATAGACAGAGAGAGAGTGAAAGAGAGACATAAAGAAAATGGAGTTTCGGGTATAACTTATTTGGAGAAGGGAAGCAAATGACCAGCTGTTGTGGAATAAATTCCTTGTCAGAACATTTTTTTGCATTTTTGTATGTTTGTATTACGGTAGAAGAATACTGGTAGTCGCATCGACATAGCTGCTGGAACAATGAACTGAAAAAACAATAATAAATGAAATATTATTGAAATTTGTAAAAATTGTTGAAAAATACATATCATTGCGTAAAAGAAAACATAGAAAAATCTTCTTATTTTTGTCAAAACATTTCAAAATGTTTGACATATCAATGTTTCAAGCGTTGATGCATCTACCTATATCCTATTCCTGAACCTGCAAGAATCTACTAGTTTGTCAATTTTCTTCGATATAATAAAGGGAAAATCGGTAATCGTAGTAAAAACTTTTACATCTTGCAGTTCTGGAACAGACCATATATTAAATTTTTACTAAACATTCAAATTCAGTTAATTCAAAAATATCAAATAAACAATACCACCTATTGTATTCGTTTGCTTTTCTATTCATTAAACATCATGTTACAAATGCTCCTGTTCTTAAAGCAAAATGCTGCCCAATGTTTTAAACTGATATTTTTCCTTGTTTGACCTTACAAAATATTTGCACCGTCAAATAAATGTTTGACCAAAAAAGAGGAAAATAATTGATCATAGGTGTTCACATTATGGACACACTGGTCAAATTTTTGTTTTCTGGCAAATAATTTTGTTTTCCCAAAATCAGCTGTTTTTACCGTCAAATAATATTTGGTGGTCAGATTGTGACAAAGAAATATTTGACATTTTTCGTCAAATATTTGCTCAATGTGACCTTACCTTTATGGTATAAAAAGGACTTCACTGGGCGAACTAAGCTAACATAGAATGTTTTGGTGATAAGGATCAGGGATGGAAAATCAAAAATTTCAAAAGGTACTAAAATGGTACTTTTTTAAATAAAATGGTACTTTTTTTATATATATTTTTTTTAGAGTTACAAAAAAACGTTTTATTCAGTAAACAAAACAAACATAACAAATTCATTCACCTATGTATTTAGGTACATATGTATATAGCTTCCAGGAATATAAAATATGAGATCATTTTTTCTTATATAACATTCTGAAGTTTGTAAAGTTATTTTTATGATTAATTCCTTATTTCTTAAGGAAATTGTCTGGAATTTTGTAATCAAAACAGCAAGAATTATTCGATTTAGGAAGATCTTTCGTCCGTAGCTGTAGACGATTTCTTTCTTTAGTCTTAGTGGCATGAATTGAAAATATTCGTTCAACATTCGCTGAAGAATGGGGAATTGATAATATACTAAAGGCAATTCTTGATATATCTGGGAACATCAATTCCCCCAATTCGTTTTTAATAACACTAACATTAAGCCAAAAATCACTAATGTTACCATCTTTAAATTTTTTAAGTTCAGGATAATAAGATAAAGCTCTAAATTGGGAATTAATGTTTTCAAAATTTTGTTCTTCATTGGGAAACAATTTCATTGAAAGTGGAAGTATACTGTTTGTCTTTCGATCTATTATATTTTCAGGTGAAAAACTATTAAACATCATATACAAACTATCGTTATTGAAATCTATTTTCTTTTTCAAAGTGTTGCAAAATTTTATATAAAACTGTTTTACATATTTCTTGAATTCCATTATTGTTGTGTTTTCAACATGTTTACTTTGTATAAATATTTCAACATCAGTTCCACAAAAAATATTATGCAAAGGAATATGATTTTCATTAATATCGATTTCTAAAATATCGTCACTAAGTCCATCTTTCAGAATAAAATTTCTAGCAATTTGCATATATAAAAATTTTATTCTTGGAAGTAAAATATGAATTCTTGCTTCTTCTGATTGCATTTCAAGATTAATATTATTAATTAATTTTAAAACATAAGACAAAAATAAGTAGAACATTTTCATTATGGGATTAGTTAGTTCATCGCTAATGAATTCCAACTTTTCTGTTTGATATTCATTTTCAGAGTTTTTGAGGTTAAAATAGTATGTGATGGGAACCTCTCTGTTCTAAAATGCGGTCTACTACCTCTTTCCTCGAAAGCCATCGTGTTGCAGCGTATCCCAGAATAACATGCATGTCAGTTCCAAAGTGTTCTTGAAACGTTGCAAAGTCATCGCGGCGACTAGGACTGTTGCAAAAATAAAAGTTAATTTCTTTCATCAATCTGTCTACCTTGTTAGGTAGCGCACAAAAAGCCGCACATGACGCCAAATTCAATATATGACAAACGCATCCAGTTACAAAAAGATTTGGAACTGACAATTTTAATATTGCTTGCACACCTTTAAATTTCCCCATCATCACTGAGCAATTATCAGCCGTAAACCCAATCATTTTCTCCAGTGGTATGTTGCATTCATTTAAAACTTCAATTATTTTGTCAGTAATGCCTTTGCCGGTTGCCTCCACAATATGTTCTAGTGATAGGAATCTATCTTCACACTTTCCATCAAAAGTTCTTACAATAATCGCCAAATGTTTTGACACAGTACAGTCAGTGCTCTCGTCGATAACAATTGAGTAATAATTTGCATTGCAAAATTTGCTTATAGCTTTAGTATTTTTTGGTCCTGTAACACTATTAATTACTTGTTGGCCCTTGTGTCTATTTATAAGAAATTTTCTGGTAATTTGGGAATCCGGTATGCCATTTTTTATAATTTGGTTTAAGTGGTCTAAGATGGTGAATGGCAAGTTATGTTCGGCCACAAATAAACATACCATGATCTCCAATTTTGCTGCTTCTGTTGAAGGGCAATGTTTTGTGGTATTCTCCACAAATGCATCCAGTTTTGGTGTGCTTTGGGCAACTTTAAAGTTTTTTATATGATATTCACGGGATGCATGGCGCTCAATGTGGCTCAAACCCCCAGCAATAGGTATGTCACATACCGTACACTTCTTACCGCCTTTTATTTGCTTAAGCCATGGAAATTTTTCATTCCATTCTTCGCGAAAGCCTGCAGCATATTTCTTTTTAGCCCTAAGAAGTAAGTGAATCTTTAGACATGTTGACAAAAAATATTATTTTAAACTCTTACCCATCCATAACTGTTTCTTTTGAACGGTATTAGACCTAAAATATATTGACTCTTTAAATGATTGTTTCCACTTTTTGAAAAATTCCGTGTTTGCCTTATCCAAAACATATGATTGTCATAGTTTTAGCTAAAGATGACAAAATTTAGATTTACACAATATCATATATCGATACCTTTATCGATATCACTGATATTCATACATTTGCAATGATAAACGAAGTTAGTGCCAATGGTGTCGTAAGAATGTGTATGAAATACTGAAAATTAGTGGATGAAGCAACGCGATCTTCTTTAAACGTCGATTTACACTAATTGCATTATAATGGAGACACCTTAAGTGAAATGGTACTGAATTTCCCGCGGGAGTACTTAGGTACTTTTTGTAGTGAAATGGTACTGAAATTGTACTGAATTTTCCATCCCTGATAAGGATCCTCAAACTTGTGAGACCAGCGTTTTATTAATGTTAACGAATACTTGGCTTTAATAAAACACGAGTCAATGTGTAAATGAAAAAGTAGTTAAGGATCTGAGATAACGCCAAGATATAAAGTAGTTAGAGTGCATTGAGTGGGATCTAAACAATTACCACATTACAATTACAAAAGACATACAATTTGCACTGCACCAGTTCACAAGGGAATGTAAATCGTACTGTTAGACAATCGCATCACCATGGGAATTTGTATGCAAGTAAAGCTTCAAACGATCTGCATACATTAGTATTTTAGAGATTCGAATGTGATTCGCAAGATCATTGAGATACAACACAAAAAGTAAAGGACCCTAATTGACCCCTGTGGTACACCACGAAAAAAACAATTATATTTTTTGGAGTTTACAAATTTGAAGAAGTTCTTAAGATTGTGTTATAATTTTTGCCGTATTTGGACTAAATTCTGAAAATAACATTTGCTGTTCTCCGAATTATATCTATTTCTTGCCATATAATATTTTGAAAATTTTACGCCAGTGTTAGATTTTCCGAAAATGTTTAAAAGTCTACTCTTAATATTACGTAAATGTCCATTGCTATGAACTGAGCTGTTCATGATATTTAGGAACCCATGATGTCGCCATTGATGCACCAAATAGAACTTAATAAAAGAGAGCGTAGTCGCAAAGTTATGCCTACTAGTTTAGTGAAGTTTTAGCAATGGTAGAATTGAACAGAAAGTTCCTCAATTCCAGGATAACAAGACGATATGTATCCTCGGGAACTACATATGGAAGGCATATACAAAGAGTAATATAAACAAGTAAAAAAGAATCAGTCAGTTTAGCCGACAGATGTATACCCTTAGCAAATGTTCGATTATTTAAACATATTTTGACTCCTGTTATGATCATTCAAATGGAGTAGGTTCCGAAGGCACGGCCCAAAATTGTCAAGTTCGTATCGGACTTAAATAAATATGATATAAATATTGCGACGTGACAGGTTTGGAATATGTTGGTTACTCTCTTCAATTTATATGAGATAAGTGATAATTTTTAGAAAATGTTTAAATGTGCGTTAGGTACCAGGTCTTGATCATCTAAAACAGATAAAAATATAACAATGGGCAAAGTTACAAGCAAATCTAACATTTAGATCCGATTTTATGCGAAATCATAAATTCAATATTCATCTCAGGTTTCTGGCTGAGAGAAATATTTAGATATATCGAGTTGTAACGAATGACAGACAAAAATATTGAACATTTTGACCTTTTGTGGGTGAGGTACCAGAAGGGATTCACAGATATATATATCATCTTCAGAACAGATGTTAGCTTGTGTTAGCAAAAATGCATGTATATGAAATTCGAAGAGTTGGATGCTTATTCTGCTTACTTTGACCGTTTTGTTTTTGAAAATCTTGAACCCTTTGTGGGGGAGGTACCAGAAGAAATTGTTAGATCGCTACCATCTTTATAACAGATCATGTGTTGATGGAAATATTTAGATGTACCATGTCTGAATGGAATCGGATGTTAATTTGGCTTTTTATAAGCTTCATAAATATTCAAGATTTTGACCTTTTGTGGGGGAGGTACCAGAAGGAGTGGTCCGATACATTCCATCTTCGCATATGATCTAGTGTTGAATACATACATTCCATTATTTCTACTAACACTAGATCATATGCGAAGATGGAATGTATCGGACCACTCCTTTTGGTTTGAAGATAATCTGACTCTTACATCACTTTTTATAACAAATAAAATTATTCAAAATATTGACTCTTTGTGTGAGAGGTACTTGATGAAGTGGACCTTTATTGTCCACTTTCTCACCTGACCAAATATTAGGATTTGTAAAGTTGGAGGAATATCATATATAATACAATAATAATACACCATAGTAAAAGAAAACTTCAAAATTATTTACATTCCCATAAATTTGCCTACAAGTTTTATTAGTATTGTGATAGCGGGAATGTTTTTCTATTAACAAATGACAAACATGACATAAGTACTAGATGCACATTGCACAGTGTGGAACAGAACTTATGTACATACATCCACACACATGGTCATCTAAGGTCTCTCATTCTTGCACTTACAACAGCACACATGGTGCAGCTTCTGCCACGGCTATTTGGACTTGCATTGTCATTGACATTACGCTACGAACACCGATATTAGATGCGTCGTTGATCGGCATATTGTCATTGACATTACGCTACGAACACCGATATTAGATGCGTCGTTGATCGGCCACCGATCTCAGGGTTGCTTAATTAAAACTGGAGCAACAACACATCTACGGCTGTCGTCGTCGCAGTAGTCTACAAGCAGGATGCAATAACTAATTTCAAATTCTGCTGCAATCTACAACAAGTTTGTTACCGGGAAATCAATCGAACTATTTTGTTCTGGTTTCTTGTTTCTCTCTTTTGGCAGAGGCTTTCGACCTGCCATCCATCCATTCATTCCGACTCGAATATCCAGTTCATCATCGGCTACGGCTATACGATGTCGCAGCCTAGCTAAAGTGCCTCTAGAAATGTTAAAAGTCATTGGATTACCAACACATGCACACAAACACGCCCATGTCATCCAGATAGCACCGCCAACTCGAGCGATTTTTGCTTTACTTCTAGAGCAACGACGAAACATCGATTGAAAGACTAGCTGACATTCATAGTCCAAACGTTGTACAGATGTATGTATGTATGTGTGTGTATTATAAAAACGACCAAGCCACACAAATCAAATCAGTTCACTTCAGGTTTTATTTTCTCCTACTCGTGCCTCTGGCTGCAATGTCAGTTTTTTCTCTTACTTTCGAAACATTCATGCTTTGGCCGATGTACTGGTCCAACCAGCTAAATGATCGAATGACTCGTGGCTCTTACAAGCGTGGAGCGATCAAGGATGGTGGTGAATAGGTTTGACACGTCAAATGCCAAACGTCCATGTAGGCGTTGTGCATGGAGCGCAGGCCCTGAAGTCCAACAGATAACATTTGAAGTGGAGCATTCCGCTGTTTTTCAGTTAAGTAACGGTCACCAATGAAAGTGGCCAAGTGAGTTTGGTCGCGCACTACTCTCCTCCTCAATCCCTTGGCATGTTCCTGTTTGGCAAGACTTAAGCAGAAGCAGAGCCTCCAGTGACCCTTTCCCAAAACTTTATAAGTGAGAAAATTCTGGCCGGAATTGTCCACCTTCGTATGGGATCTAACAGCTCTATCTGACGGAATGTCTTTTTATATATGTGTGGTCAATTTTGTTATCCGTTTGTATTTCCGTGTGTGTGTGTGTGTCAAAATTGGCATTTCGATAGGATTCGTGGTATTTACCATTACACACTGACATATGTTTTTATATCCTTACTTTCATTGTTATTTTCTTGCTAATTTACTGAAAGCGTGTCTGTCCGTCTGTGGAAATCACTCTAGCTTCCGAACGAATTAAAGTAGGTTGATAAAATTTTACCCAAAGTTGCTTGGATTTTTTTGGTATTGGAAATTGTATAAAGCCCATTCCCACGTTTGGTATAACCACCATGCAACCGTACCGCCAAGATCGAGGTGTTTTGGGTACTTGAAAAGAATTCTTCTAATAAGTCCAGGTTTTAGTTCCCATGTAATATTCAATTTTTTTAACGGAATTGTTACAAATTTAGTATTTGGAATTCGTAATGAGTAGCACCTCCTATGACAGAAAATTGCCTATATGACTTCCTATATCCCACCGATAGGTAACTGTACCTACCTCCCACTGATATCTGGTGACCTCTTTGCAAATGAAGTATTTTTACCTGTTATAATTTTGGCCACACTTGCAAATGAACAACGCATGCAATTCGTTGAATTTGCGTGCTCTGTTATGAAAGTTCATTGTGCGATTCGTCCATTTTATGGTCAGCAGAATTGTTGAAGCAAAATCCAGAAGCAGTGCAATGCATCCAGAAACCAATAAAAAAAAATCTTAAAGTCGGGCGGGCCGACACCAATTTACATATTTAGTAGAGCTTTGCATAACAAATAAAAGTTTTTATGGGTAATTTGTGAAAATTAAATCATACCAACTATGATTGTAATCATAATTTGAAGTCCAAAGGAACTAATATATGAGAGGAGTATCCTCCCCTGAATCGATTTCTACTAAATTCGCCGAGGCATTTGTGCCTTTTCAATTCGGGCTTGTACAACGTATTGGTGCACAATTAACTTGAAATCGGATAAAGATATGGGAGCTATATCCAAATCTGAACCGATCTCGATAAAAATTGGCAAAAGACTTTTCCGAATATCGTTGTTACGGAGTGCATATTACGGCTGTGGAAATATAACAAATCCTATGAGCTATGGCTATATCTGTTTCTAATATTACACGTTTGGTGCAAAATAAAAGGCAAATCGGATGAACATATATATGGGACCTATACTCAAATCTGAACCGATAATCAAAATTTATCAAAAGTATTTCGGAGCTGTATTTGATATATTTTCCCAAATACAAATTGTTACAGAGTGCATATTACGACTGCTATAGCTATATCCGAACAGATTTCGAACAAATTGGCCATACTTATTTTCAAGCGTAATTTGGTCGTATGTGCACAATTCCATACTATTTGGGCTGATACTACACGTTTGGTACACAATAAAAAGCAAACATGGACAGACCGACGGTCAGACGGACGGACATGCTTAATGAACGTGATTCTATGTAGATAATGAAAATGAACTATGGTTCTATCCCGTTTCCTTTTGCCTGTTACAAACAAATGAACAAAGACATTATACCCTGACCACCCTGGTGTAGGATATAAAAATCACAGTTTTTTGCGGTCTATGGACAGATGGCATCAGTGGACCGTACTTCTTCAAAGATGCTGCGAATTGTAACGATGATATCCAACTGTTTGGGCCAAAATACAAGAGCTT